TTGGAGTCTCGGGGAGAGAAGTAGTGACGCCGACGACGGACTGCAGAGGTGCAACGACCAGCCGGCGAACCAGCTACAGCACCCAGGCTACAGACTGATGATGACGTCTGGACAGAAACTCCGGCGAAACAGCGGGGAACTCCGGCGAGGGCTATTCTCTGTTCCAGCGAACCAAGAAGCTCCGGCGATTCCCTCTGTTCGGGTGACTAGTTCGAGCTGCAGCGATGGCGTGGGTCCCCTTTGCTCTAGTGACCTTCGGGGATGTCCAAGACAAATTGGGCAGCGACAGTGCACGTACTCCGTCAACGATTATTGGACAATGCTTTCCTTGAATTTCAATTGAACAAACGAGGTGAGTACGTGGACATCTAACACTATAATATGCATCTAGGTTTGAAATTCTGTTCATAATTATTATCGTGGTTGATCTATTTGATTTATCCTTATAATTGTTGATTGTGGTTTTGAGAATTGTTGCCATTGAATCGAAAAGGGTAGAATGCATGACTTAGGCATTGATTGTCTTGTTAAGGTGCTCGATAATGTTTAGGACATTAATATGAACCTATTGGTGTTGTTGTTATGAGAATTGTTATTGGTTGATGCTCTGTTGATCTGTGTCTCTGTCTAGGATTGATTCTGAGATTCCATGTGAGCATGACGGTAATCATGGGCCTTTGGTTCTGATAGGCCGCTATTTGATATGTTGCTGAATAATGAATTGAGATTTGAACTAAATTAATCTCATTGGTGTTTATTGTGAATTGTGAATAATATAGGAAATAGGCCACCTAGTTTAATTAGGCGGACCCGAATTGGATTGAATGATTGGATCACCAATAGGATGAGTCTAGAGTTTAGGCCATTGCGGGGCGTCGTCGCACACCCGGTGGTCTTGGGTTAAAAACGTACGTACGGAAGTCCTTGAACTGTCTTGGCATAGCAGAGACAGGGGCTTCAACCCGCCCAGAGTGAATCTCCTTTGGGTTTTCTAGAGCTGGCCCTTTTATAGCATCGCTTGGGGTGCCATGACTCATAGGTATATGAATTGCCTTAGCCATCATAGGTTAAGAGGTGTGATTTGGATAAATGAATATGAATATCGTAAGATGTTTCGAATATTAAATATTATTATACCTGTGTGCATGATGAGCGGAAATAAATGTTGACTATGCATGTTATATCTTGTATGACGTATGATCGTTGCCCAGCATGTTGTGTGCATGATATCATGTGATAATTGTGAATTAGTGGATTCATCTAAGTGTATGTTCGAACTGTTAGATATTTCTCACTCAGCTTATCGCTGAGCGTGTAGTTTGTTCTGTCTTTCTACACGTAGGTAATAACGAGCTAATCCTGGAGGGCACAGAGACGGAGGAGATGTACGGATGCANTTACGCGGGTTGGGGTGTTACATTTATAGTCATCAATTTTAATTGTTTTGTTTAATTAAATCTTTTATCACCCGTAAAAATTGGAAATTTTTAAAACTTTTTGTCAAACGTCTATTTTTACTCTAACCTTTTGGAATGTTTTCTAAAATGATTTGGGATAAATTCACAATTGACTAAGAGTTTTTAAGATCAATCAATTTCAAGTTGCTTTATTGAAAATCTTTTTGCAAATACTCATCTATCTTTCGGGCTATGAGTATTTGTTGTTCTTAAAAATAGTTACTTTCAAGGTATAAGGGGTGACGTTTCAAAGTATGCTTTGGTGAGACCGAGATTCTTGTTTTAGCCAAAAAGCAATTGGTTCGATGTCAATTGATGAGGCTTGGTGAGTATGCCAAAAAGCATGTGGTTCTATATTGCGTGATGAGGCCTTTTGAGTGTTAGAGTCAAAAAGCATGTGGTTCTATGTCGTGTGATGAGACTTTCTAGAGTGAATATCCAAAAAGGTCGTGGTTCTATGTCACGGGATGAGGTTATAACTTCTCTCGTGTCAACATGACAGAGTTATGCCAAAGAAAATTAAACCCTTACACTTTGACAAATACTTTTGCAAGAACATGTTTTCCAATTTAGCCATAAAAAAATTATTTGATCTTTAAATTACTCTTACGAATGTAGTTATCCCAAAGAAAGTTTGGAAAATTTTGGGTTGTTTAGGTTGGTGTAAAAATATTGATTTGACAAAATTCTTTTACATTTCTAACAGTATGGGTGAGAATCTGAAGGTTCATTTCTTCTTAACAAAAAGGTTGATGGCTATCTTAATTTTTCTTTCCTTCATAATATGTAGCTTAAACCTTCCCTCTGTAATCATTAATTTGCCTTTATACATATAATTATTCAATTTGTTACTTGAGGACAAGCAACGTTCAAGTGTGAGGAATTTGATAAGTCCGTTTCGTACTTATCATTTACATCATATTCTAAACGTTATTGTATGTAAATAATATTTAATCATTTCATAAAATGTGATTTGAATGAATAAAACTCTCATTTTCGTTTTAAAGAGTCATTAAAAGGGATTCCACATGAAATCATCATAAATCATCCATTTTATGTTCAAATACTTGAGGAAAAAGAATAAATCATCAAAGGATCAAGATTCGGGCTTGAACGGGCCTCTGGGAGGATAAAATCAACGTTTGGGCAAAAAGGAGCGAATTTGGGCCAAGATCTCGCATCAGCCGCGAGGCCCAACGGACCAAGGCCACAAGGCATCCAACTTGGATGCCTTACCAAGTTGGACGCCTTGGCTGGATTGCAGTCCAAGGAAGAAACGTGGCAAAACCTGGTTGGCCGGAACTGCTCAAGCGTCACGATCTGGACGCCTGCACTTGGACACTTCTACTTGGACGCCTCGGCCTCTGTCCTATAAATACAGCGCGATTCACCTCATTCCATCATCACCTTCAGTCCCCATCTCGGGATTAGAGCTCCATATTTCAAATTCTCTGTTTTAGTTAGTGTATTATTAGTTTTAGAATAATTTTCGGAGAAATTCTGCTCCAGTTCTGTTCTACTCCGCTTTTTACGGAAGTTGTTAGTTTTCCTTATTTAATAAAATGCTATTTTAATTTATGTTTGCATAGTATGAGTTAAGGGTCCAAATCCCTGGGTCCGGACTAGTTTGGTTATATATTTTGAATGTTAAATTAATGTTGGGATGGTTAATCTATTGTTCTTACCCTATTTGGTTAATTAAGCTCGTAAGATTTAATTAACTATTTACTGAGAAAATATTGTAAGTCAAATGGCTATGATATTCGAGTGCAACAGATTAAGTACAAATCTAGAAATGGATGAGTAGTAATAGAAATATTATTATTCCAATTGTTAATTTAATATGATAAAAGGGATTCAATTGATGTCCTGACCCTAGGTCCAGATCTGCACTTATACTATGTAAAATTAATTTATTATTTTTACTCTACTCCCTTTTTATTCGTTCCGAGAAGACTTTCATGAATCTATCCTAACCTTCGCCTAGTTAGAGTAATTAGACTAATTCCCTTCGTCGACTCCTCGAGAGACACGACACTCGGAGAGAAAACTAACCCTTTATGGGGAAGGTTTACTACCCGAAAAACTACGACTGTCAAATGGCACCGTGTTAGATATCTGGGAGTATCCACGAAGACCTTCCGTAGGCCACCAAAGGTAAGGCGGATCGGGGAAATAAGGCCAAAGTGTGACAACGTTATTTGGGTTAAATTCACTACGTTGCCCTATCTCAAAGCCCAAGCCGACACCGTGGTTGCCCTACACCCACCCTAGGCCGAACCAACACCCCACCCAACCCTGAACATCCAAAAACATTTCCTTTTTCAAAATAAAGTTTTCCTACTTTTATTTCAGCCCCTAGCCAATAAGAATGTGTGAACCAAAACCTTTTGTTTGTTGTTATTTTCCTTCTTTTAAGCCTTTCCAATAAACAAATAAAACCCTCTCTCCTTCCTTTATTTCCTGGCCAATAAAACCTCACAATCCCAACATAAACACCCACAAAAGGCCAAAAACCTGACCCCACTAGCCACTCATTCCCGCCCATGTCTCCCTCACAATAACCCAAACCCATATGTCCAAAACCACCCCTAATATTGCCCAGCCCTGTCCCCTTTTATTGGCCAAACACAACCCCTCATTTTTACCCAAATAATAGCCTTAAAACCCAGTAAACAACCACTACAAACCAAATCTCAAAACCCCCACAACCCCAGCCTCATCCCTGAATTTTATTCCAAGAGATGATTCAATGGGTGTTACCCCATACTTTGGAAGTGGATGTTGCTAGGAAGTTTCCTAATGTCTACATTCAATGTATTGTGCTTTTCTTCCCCCTTCCCCTCTCTATATAACTCAGGCCCTATGGCCATTGTAACATCATATTTTGAATATTAAAACCTTTTACTCTTTGAGTATTATTAAAATAGTTTGATGCTATTTTAGCCAAATTCCTAATTCTATATCTTAAGAGTGGTTATCTTAAGTGAGAGTTTTAGGTTCTAGATATTTAAATAAGTGTGTAATATCTTATTTGAATTCTAGATTCAAACCCCAAGTTAGGCTAAGAGTGTGTAATATCTATTAAACACCAACTTGGTTTATCCATCCCTGATTTTCTTCCATTTCATATTCCCCCATTTCTCTTCTTAACCTTACTCTTTTCTCCCATTAAAATACCAAAAGAACTCTTTCATCATCCCCATATATCTCCATCCATCCCCCACACAAAACATCCTTCTCCCTACCCAGATTTTCTGCGTGACAGTCGATTATCATTTCACAACAATCGACTATCGCTGCCCCCAAAAGTCCTGCAGTCACCAACAGTCGATTATCACCTTTCTGTCAGTCGACTACCTCACCCTTCAGGACTTTCTCGGCGTCTGCTGCAAATCCCAATAATCGAGCATCAACTATTGATAGTCAACTATCTGGTCCCTCTGAATTCTCTTCACCTAAACCAAACAACCAATAATCGATTATCACCATTGTGACAATCGACTATCTGGCATTCCTGAAGTTTAAAGGCTGTTCTAGTTTGCTACCAATTCCTCCGTAATCCCACCCTCAAATTATTTACATGATAAGACCCCGGGTTTGGGTATATAACATCTGGTATCAGAGCTCTTTGTTCCTACATCCCAAAGGACCAAGAACACACTTCCACTCTTTCTCCTTTCCTTCATACTAGCTACTGCCTTACCTTCGTTCTTTCACTTCCTAGTTCAAAACATGTCTCACACCTCCCAAAACATCACCAAGGAAGATTTGGTTGCATCCAATGCCGAACTCAAAGCTCAAGTTGAGTATTTGGCCAAACAGGTGGCTCAACTTACTAAGTTGAAAATGGGCATGGTCCAAACTCCAGAGGAAAGCGAAGATGAGCAAGAAGATGATGTCGAATCCGTAGTTCCTTCTCCCACCATGAGAAGAAACAACCAAGAGAAGTCTTCATCTGACTTCAAGGTTGAAATACCAACCTTCGATGGAAAAGATGACCCGGATGATTTCATCGAATGGTTAGAGATGATTGAACGCGTCTTTGACTATACCGAAGTGCTGGAGGACAAGAAGGTCAAGCTTGTGGCCTTAAAATTCAGAGGCTACGCATCTACGTGGTGGACTAACACTACCACCAAGCGCAAAAGAGAAGGCAAGGCTGCTGTTAAAACATGGACCAAGATGAGAGCTTTATTGAAGAAGAAGTTCATTCCCACTCATTATATAAGGGAAAACTTTGCTAGGCTTCAACACCTAAGGCAAGGAAATCGGTCCGTAGAAGAATACAACTGAGAGTTTGAAGAACTCTTGATGCGGTGTGATCTCCAAGAGAATGACTCGCAAACCTTTGTGGGATATCTCTTTGGCCTAAACACACAAATCGCCAACACCGTGGAGCTGCAAACCTTTGAGAGCCATGAAGAGTTGACCAAGTTGGCACTTAAAGTGGAAGCCCAACTCAAGAAGGGCAAATCTTCTCTGAGCCGTGGCAATACTTCCTACCCATGTGCATCAAATTCCACCCCCCTTGCTGCCCAAAACCCCACAGCCCCCTCCCCTCAAAATCCTAAAACCGTGCACCCTATTTCCTCACCAAGTGCTCCTCCTCTTTCAAAACCGAGTTCATCAAATAGCCGAATACAAAAGTGCTTTCGTTGTCAAGGCATCGGTCACTATGCTAGTGACTGCCCAAACAAGAAGATCATGGCTATTGTCGAATATGAAGAAGAGGAAATGAATCCACTTTGGGTTCAAGGAGAGCTGAACTAAGAAGAAGAAATTGTCGGCCCCGATGAAGGTGAACTTTTGGTCATTCAACAGACCATTAGTCATGCGGCTGCCCTGGCTGATACCACACACTGAGAGAGTATTTTTCATACTCGATGCTCCATCCAAAATAAGGTGTGTTCGATGATCATCGATAGCGGAAGTAGTGCCAACGTTGTTTCCAAAACAGCGGTGGAAAAGCTCAATTTAGAGACCTTTCCACATCCAAAGCCTTATGAGATTCAATGGTTGAATCTAAATGAAGGAGTACATGTGAATACGCGCAGCTTGGTCTCGTTTAGCATGGGTAATTCCTTCCATGATGGCGTATGGTGTGATATCATACCTATGAGGGTTTGTCATATTCTTCTCGGAAGGCCATGGTTATATGATCGGAGAGTTACTTATGATGGTTTCACCAACTCGTATTCATTTGTGATGGATACAAGGAGAATTACACTTACCCCGTTAATACCATCTACCCTACTGCACCAAGCACAAACTCCATCCATACTCTCCATTTCTATCAAGTCCGAAATTCCAAAGCCCAAAGAGTCACTCCATGAACAAAATCTTGAGCCAAATCAGCCCTCGGGCCTCTTTGATGATTCTCCACCCAAACCCCTCCTTGAAAGAGGAAACAATGGAGTTTTGTTACTACTAACGGCCTTTGGTGCCAATCTCTTTGTGTTTACTTTGCAGGGAAGTCATAAAGAAATACAAGGAAGAAAGAACACTTATTCTAAGTGTTCAAGAAGACATTTGAAAATTTTCATTCTCCGAGAATGGAGGCGCATGATCGAAGGTTTTGATGCAATCAAGTTCAACTCCAGCCCCTATGAAGAGCTTAAAAACAATTTGAGTTTGAGGGCAAACTCTTTCGAAGAAGGGGAGGATGTTAGATATCTGGGAGCATCCACGAAGACCTTCCGTAGGCCACCAAAGGAAAGGCGGATCGGGAAAATAAGGCCAAAGTGTGACAACGTTATTTGGGTTAAATTCACTACGTTCCCCTATCTCAAAGCCCAAGACGACATGTTGTACCCGAGACACGGGGTCTTGTCAAGTAACTAATTTGATGGCGGGTTTACGGAGGAAATGGAAGCAAGAAGGAAACAACTTTGAACTCCAAAGTTCAGAAACGCGTGATAGTCGATTATCATTAACTGATAATCGATTAACAAGATATGATTTCCAAACCACGAATGTTCAAAGATGCCCGATAGTCGATTATCACTTTTATGATAATCGATTCTTGGAAATGGCTGGGTAAATATGGAGGTGATGAAGGAGTTCTTTTGGTATTTTGATTTATGAAGATAGAATAGAATGTGGCTTAGGAAGAGAAAATGGAGAGGAACGAAATGGACAGAAAACAAGGATGGATAAACCAAATAATAAATAAGAGATAAACACACTCTTACTATATTTGGGGCTGTTATCTATTTCACATAATAATAATCACTACTAATGTATAAAATAGACTCCTAACACACACTCAAAAGTAGCCAACTTTAGAGATATTTCATTAGAAATTTGGTTAAAATAGCATCACACTATTTTAAGAGAATACTCAAAAGAGTAAACAAAGTTTTTCATTCAATACAATCTGATTTACAATGGCCTCATGGTTGAGATTATATACAACAAGGGGAAGGAAAAAAAACAACAGTGGCAGCTTCCTTTCTTCTTCCTAAATCACATGTTTGACATTATTGCACAACCATCCATTTGAGTTGAATTCTAGGACAAAGATGGTGGATTTTGTTTGGCTTTTCTTGCATAAGGATTTCAGCCATATGTGGATTAAGTCAAGGACATTATGTGGCTATGATAAAGCATTCCTTGGCCTATTTTGAGGGGTATATTTCGGCCTTAAATGGGAAAGAACAAGGAAAGAGACACAATGTGGCTAGTCTTGGATTTATTGCATAATAGGACAATTCAACACTATTCCCTTTTGGACTTTAAAAAGGGGTATTGGCTTTATTCATGAGTGGGGTTTTAGGGATGTATTTTGGAATGGAAAAGTCCTCCTTTTTGGTGTAAAACTCGGCCCTATTATGGTGATACAAAGGAAACAACATGGGCTGACGTTTAGTGAATAATAGGACAAGAAGTTACTATTCAATCAAAGACCTTTTGCTTATTTTTATCCCTTTATTGTGTGTGGTGATTTAGGCTTGATTTTGGGAAGAAAATGGTAGGGAATTTCGTGGGAAAGGTGTAGGAAAATAAGGGGAAGGTCTTATTTAATGAAAGGAACAAAAGAAGTAGAAAATAACACACAAGGTTTGCCTTTTTGGTCCTCATTTTCATCCAAGGCTTGGGAAAAGACTTTATTTTGATTATCAAATGAAGATTAAAGGCTTTTGGATATTTTGGGAGAGTTTGGGGTTTTGGTGGAGCCATCCAGGGGTACATCATACTCCCCTTCTTCAAAGAAAGTTTGTCCTCAAATTTTCGCACCACCGTGAAAGATTGGGGATTCATATAAGAATTCCCGGATCAAATGGGAAATTCAATGAACCACCAACAATGAGGCTCCTTCCGAAATTAGTGGACACCTTGTTGTGTAATTTCCGGAACATGATGCCATTCCTTGTAAGAACCTGCTTCAAACATACCTCAGAGATGAGATAAGATTTTCCCTCACCAAAAAGAGGATAATACTCTATGGAAATCACTTCCTTAGAATATATATCTTCCGGTGTGGCTTCCTCTATAACTACCTCATCAACGTAGTCATCATGAATAAGGAAAGAATCATTATAGTGTGATTCTTCCTGAGCATTAGAAGCTGGTTCTTCTACGAAGACGTCATCTTCATCTTTGACAAGAATATCAAAGACGTCTTCCTCAATGACAACTTGGTCACATGAGCTTCTCTTTTCCTCCTCATGAATCATGACCCACTCTTCATATGGTATGGCATACTTATTTGAACATTCCCAATGGCCATGACCACAACCACCACACATGAAACACCGCCGAGTGGCCCATTGTAGTATTGCTCCATTTGCAAGGATGATTTCCATATTTCAGAGGTGTCTTTTAGAGACCATATCTCACAAACCGGAGATCGGAATTATGTAACTCCAACTATCACAGCTAGAAATTGATGTCCATAAAGACATATAAAAAATTTAGAGCCACTAAAGAACATTTGCTACCTCTTTGGAGACAAATTCAGCAATTCGCCCAGGATTGTGTTATCAACTTTGGGAGGGCGTATCTCACAAACCACAACTCGGAATTGAGTGAAATCAGCGGCCACGTGTAGCAAAAATGTCAAACTTTCATACTGGAAAATTTCGCTTCAAGATCTGTTGTGTAACTTCCTCCGTGCTCAATTGTTTGGAGCTGAATGTTTCTGGAAAAAAATTTCAGCAACCTTGTTGCAGGTAACGTTTGTGAAGCCGGTCCTCAAGGTGATCGTCGAGACTTAAGGAAGTCTTCGAATATAGCTCTGATACCAAATGTTGTACCCGAGACCCGGGGTCTTGTGAAGTAACTGTTGGAACACACTTTGTACGATAAACTAAAGTCGTGTTCATTTCTGACAGGTTTTGATAATTGCCAAACCGCCGTGGATATAAAGAGTTTCGTTGAATAACTCAAGGCGTGAAGAATGGCTTGGAACAAGACCTAAAAGACTCAAGGACAAGATCAAGAATTGAAGACTTAGTCGAGTCGGTCTTTTGTGATCAAAACCGACAATAAATTCAAGTCTCGGTTCTCAAAAAGTCAAAACAATTTTTACAAATCACAAAATATTTCTTGTGCATCAAAACAAACATTTTTTTTGATGATTCCTTTTATTGTTAAAATCCCTGGTCCTTGCTCAGAACCAAAACCACCTAAGTCGGCGTTCGGCTTTCGACTTTCGGCGTTCGGTTTTTGGCGCCCGAACCAACTCCGTGGTTTTCAATTTTTTAAACCCTGTTTTTACCTCTGAGCATTTTTAAAATGTTCCCAAATAATTATTTTATAAAAACCACTTTTGTAGGTCAATCGGTCTAACACGTGAAAAACAGTCTAAACCGTACGTACGTATTATACGACCTTGGAGACTTGGTTTTTACCAAACAAGTCTTGTTTTCACTATTTAATACTATTTTCCAAACCTGGTTTTTACTTTTGGGAACACTTCATTTTTGGACCTCGGTTTTTCAAAACGGGTTTCAGCTGGCTAGACTTTAGCTGGGTAATAATCGATTATCACCTTAGTGACAATCGACTATCAGCCCCTGCAGCTTTGAACTTCCAAAGTTCTGAAGCACGCAATAATCGATTATCAGCTTTGCAATAATCGATTATCAGTCTTTGCAGCCAAAACCCAGAATCTTCTGAGAGGACAAATAATCGATTATCACTTGTTGACAATCGATTATCTGGGTTACCGTTGTCCTCCAACGGATAGAATTTTAAATTTTTGGACAGGGAATCTTTGGATAATCGATTATCATGCTTTGACAATCGACTATCAGCCTGTGTCCTTGAAAAATTTGTCTTCATCCTGTTGGAAATTCTAGCAACGGGTTTATCCCATTTTGGGCTATAAAATGGCACCCAAATCCTCTCATTTGACACACAATTCTTCAACATTTCAATACTCTTTCATTGCATAAGCATTCCTATTTTTTCTTAGCTATTTGAGAGCCAATTCTTGAAGAAATTGTCGTGTTCTTGAGCGTTTACTAGTTTACTCATATCTACTCTTTGTGAGAGTTTTATTCCTGAGTGTTTAAGTGTTTTCATACACTTTAAGGGAGGTTGTTCCCTTGTTGTTAACTCGAAGGAAGTTCCTTGTTCCTTCGTGAGAAGTCTTGGAGTGCGGTATCTCCGAGCAAAGGTGTTGAGGCTCGTGTGACTCGGGTTCTCAAGTTGTATCGGTTTGTTAAGCACCCTTAAGCTTAACGGAGTTAGTGTNCCAAAATGCCCAGGGATATTTTCCTTCACAATAATACATCCAATCCCCACAACAAACCTACAACAAAACTCCAAATGACACACCCCACACACACCCCTTTGTCTCCCAACCCTGACCAAATTCAAATTCCCCCAAAACCTCCACAAATACCCAGCCAAATGTACCACTTCATCTTACCCCCACTCCTTGGCCCTCAACCTCAGCCCTCCCCACATTCATCCCTCCTTCCCCCCAACATTTCCTGCAACTCAGGAACAGCCCAAAATCCCACCAAACAACCCATATCCCTGATTTCATTCCACTTAAGAAACATGAGCACATGGGCATTATTTTGAGTGAGTTGTATTTTCCCTCATTCCCTCCAATGTAATCCTATATATTCAGCAATAGGCATGGGTGTAGAAACACATTGTATTCCCTTTTTAATCAAAGTGATTCACTTGTGTGTTTCATTCCAAATTCCTAATTCTATATCTTAAGAGTGGTTTCTTGAGTGTGAGTTTTAGGTTCTAGTTATTTAAATAAGTGTGTTATATCTTATTTGAATGCTAGATTCAACCTCAAGTTAAGATAAGGGTGAGTAACATCCCTTAACACCAACTTGGCTTGTTCCCCTTCCCAAAGAAACACCTCTTTTCCTATCTCGAGCTGTCCAATAATCGATTATCGGTAGTAGAAGTCGATTATCTATCCTTCGTAAAACATCTACAGTCTTCAATAGTCGATTATCACTTTCAGATAATCGATTATCAGCTTTTCCCAGAAACCTGCAACTCACAATAATCGATTACCACTCCTCCGTCAATCGATTA